TACACTTATTCCTCCAATAATTTTATGACATCCCTATTATGGTTGTAATAGCTTCCTCATTCGACGGAAAACGCTTTCCACGAAGGAATTGTTTCTTGCTGCTGAAGAGGTAGTAGTCGCTGGGAGCCAAATATGGTGAATACGGTGTATGCTCAAGCAATTCGTGCTTCAATTCGTTGAATTTCGCCATTGTTAAAACACCTTTGTGAGCAGCTGCATTGTCTTGATGAAAAAGTATTTTTTGTGCTGCAAACCAGGTCTTTTCTCACGAATTTTTTCATGCAGCTGATCCAAAAGGCTGCAATAATATTCAGAGTTGATTGTTTTATCTTACTGCAGATAATCAATCAACAAAATTCCTTTTGCATACCAAAAAGCTGATGCCATAGCCTTCTTTGCTGATCGTTGTGACTTTATCTGCTTTGGAGCTGAACAACCAGTTTCAGTCCACTGTAAATGTTCTTGTTTCAATTTAGGATCAGGGTGGTAGAACCAAATGTCATCCATAGTTATAAAACTACGCAAGTAATCGGTTTTATTCTGCTTAAAACGCTCCAAATTATGCTGAGAAATTTGTTTTCTATACAGTTTTTGTTGTATTGTTAACGTATGCGGCACTAACTTTCCAAACAACTTTTTCATATGTAATTCATGTAAAATATGAAGTACTCATTCGCCTGAAATGCTTATGGCATTCGCAATTTCACGCTTAGTCAAACTTGGTTCGTAACTAACAATATTGTGAACTTGCTCAATGATAACTGGTGTGGTTGCGGTTTTTGGTCGTCCTTCGCGTGGATCGTCTTCAGCCTAGTACGACCACATTTAAATTCACCAGCCCAAAATTCAACAGTGCGTTTTAAACGTGAATACTTCTAACTTCTAACAATCATTCATAAATTTTCTTTGCTTTGAAACCTTCAAAAAAAAGAATTTAATCACTGCACGATATTCAATTTTTTCCATATTAAAAAAATACTTTGACATGTCAAGTCATTGACAGAATGACTTGTAACTTTGCATGTGTACTCACGACAGATGCACCAACTTGAAAAATAATACAATAATTTAAAGCTAGTAGTGCTATTTCTTGGTAAGCACTACTCACCTTTCAACCAACCTGTATATGAAACTTATCAGAATATGATCGAAAAAAATATCGGTCAATATATTAGAGTTTTTAATAAAATCCCACGGACATCTTTTCCACATAATAATGTGAACTGCTGGTGAAAATGTAATTCAGAGTGCGCGCCTTTGAATTAGCAGTGTGCCCTTGTGTCTAATATACAGTAAATAGAATTGGGTGAGTACTTTCTTTGGTTCCCAAAAACCTAAAATAATAATCTTCAAACTTCCGGTAGCCTTTACGGTATACATTATGTATGATAAGGGAGTCTAAAACGTTCGGTTTCACCAAAACGTATGCCTTCCTTACTGGGTTTAACTCTAGGAGAACTCAGGTATCTCCATAGCATATTTGCGCTGTAGGTAATGGTGTATTCTACGAAGTCGGTTTTAACTACGGCAGTATATTTCACAGCATTTTCGAAATTTGCTTCAATAAATAAACACAGCGCACAATTTAATCACGTAATTTGATTAATGGCAATATGCAATATGGTAATATGGTAAATAATATTTATTTGATATTATCGATTACTCACCTTTACTTTTACATTTAGCTCAAGCAAAGCGTAGCTGCGGTACACCTCTTTTTAGAATTCAAGGTGTGATTGGCAATCCGGATATATCATATACAAAGGATAACCAAAAATAACGCTTCAAAAATCTTTTCGGTCCCAACCAAAAGTATGTCGAGGATTACAAGTGATTTGCACGCGGTCACATCGCACCAATTGCGGATTTCATATTCTGTTATGAGTAGTTTGCCACTTTCTATTATGCGAATTGTGCTCCCGAATGGCAGCATGTGAATGCCGGTAATTGGATACGCGTGGAGAATGCTGTGCATGGCATCGCCTCTTCGAAGCGCTGCAATTTATTAGTATTCACCGGTATTTTAGGCATATTAGAGTTGCCACATTCAACGACTTATCGGTATACTAGTATATTAATATATATTTGGATGAAAATAAAACGCTTGTTGTGCCAAAATAGTGCCAATATGCATGTAATGGTACAAAACAGGAGTTTTGTACCAATATTTGTAAGGAGTATGGTTTGGATTCCCCCAATTATGCGTACCTAAACCGTGGTTATACATTTTCTTGTGAGTTCAAGAACTTTTGGGACACTGCTGTGGGTGTAACGACTCCATATTACGAACTACCCAATGGCTGGAGCTAAAAGTATTAGCTTGAGATGTATATGTATCTATATTGCATTGTATATTAGGGTGAGGCAAAAAAAATTTTGTTTTCTTTTGTTTAGCCTGAGGGTAAAATTTGTAGATTATAAAAAAAAGAAAATTTTTGGAAAAAAATTTTTTTTTAACATCTACTCACTCACTTTTAAAGTAAATTTCGAGTTAAAATTTTATTTTTACAACCAAATTTTTTGATAAGTATTCTAGAAGCTGTGGAGAGTTCTTTTTTTGGCCAATTAAAAGTTATCAACTTAAAAAAAAAATTTGTGGTCATTATTGGAGTTTTAAAGAGAGCCTTGAACGGCAACATGCTTTACTTAAGCGTTAAACAAAAAAAAATTTCACTCAAAATTTACTTTAAAAGTGAATGCCTCTAAATGTTAAAAAAATGTTTTTTTTCCATTGTTTCAAACGTAAGTGACTTTTTATATTTTTATATCGAGGCAGCTGTAATAAGGTCAGAAGCCATCTGACTTTACTTCTCATATTGCACAGAGTATAATATAATGTAATAGTTTTTTTTCACCACAGTGAACGAATTTGGGCCTCTAAAATGACATTAAATTACTGTAAATCGGGGCAACTGTGGTTTAAAAGTTTGGTTGACAAAATCCAAGCACGATTACTGACACACTTACCGACATATTCGACATAAAGTCTGCTAGAATAACATAACTCATTATATATGTAGTATATGGGAGCAAGTTTAATTCGTGGTTGAAATTCATACATTTTCTGGATTCAACTAAAAAGTAGTTACATTCGGCATATGGGGTCCAAGGCTGATTTAAACCCGATTCTAGCTATTTTTTGGCATTACGACATATTATAGAAATGCTTTCTGATATTCATTGAGATATCTCGAAAATAATCTAACTGAATTTCATTAAAATATTTTAGACGTTTTCTCATATATTTGGTCAAAAATAAGTTAGAGGCACTAAAGTCTAAATATTCGGTGAGCTCATAACAAGCTATGATTCGATTTTTTTTATCGCGTTGACTTCAGTTGTATTTGATTTGTATACTGTAAGGTGAAAGAATCAAATGGAATTTACACTTGTGTTATATGGAAAGTAGGTGTGGTTGTAGTCCGATTTCCACAAAGTAGCATAAGAATAACGGGATAATATTATACACTAAATGTGGTTGCGAAAGTCTACTCACTGGACATACCGGTTTTTGCCATAAATGAAAACTCCTAAGTGGACGAAAGCTGCATTCTACCTGCACTTATTCAGCTGACTTTTATTTTCCAAAAAGTAAAAATTAATAAAAGTTACTAACAAAGAGAGCTGCCGCTTTTATTCCATATCAACACTCCTACCTCACGAGTGTGCTTAACCAAGTGGTCAACATGACAAATTATCTCCATAAGTTAATAGTTTCGACAACCTTGAGCCTCCCAACACAGTT